GTGTGTGTGTGTGTGTGTGTTTGTCAGTTGACTGACTCCCCGTACATAATCGTAGCCGTAGAATGGTTCTGGAGCGTCATATCCTTCGGCACGATTAAAGAACCGACGACTTTAATCCCGGACGAGCGTCCACGGGGACGCCAGGGAATACGATTCCGGCATAAAGCGACGACTTTATGGTTATTCGACGTACGATTCGCTGACGGGTTCACTTTGTGGAAGACAACGGGGCTGGAAGGAAGAGGAAACAGAGAGAGGCGGAGGAAGACGATGACGAGGACGAGAAGGTGGACTCACGAAGGACGACAAAACGCAGCAGCCACGCCGGTTTTGCTACCTGAACGCTTGCTCCCAGCGAGAGCTTTCTTTCATGTAACGGGTGACGCGATGCGAATCGAAATATTATACGTCGTTTCTCTTTTTAGCAAGAGACATCTCGCCTACGTTCTGATTCTTTAACAATTCTTGGTGAAGACTACGTCACTTTTCAAATCTTTTCATTTTGCTGTTTCGTTTATTTGGAAGATCGGTAGATTTAATAAGATAGAGAATTTTTGCTCCAGTCGTTTATTTATCGTAATTTTTTTAGCTAGCTAGCTTTTCTAAAGCAGAAATGAATTTCAGATTCAGACAGAAACATGCTTTTATTATTATTCGTTGCTGTAACTTTGTTACTTACAATTAGAACTGAAGACGCAGTATAAAACGTAATCCATATAATAATTTCATCTTTCTATTTCAGTAATACGTAGATTTCTTTTAGAACGAACTTTTTTGCTATTTTTTATTGCAATAAGCTATAGTATAGTTATAGTTCGCGTCCATAATTCTATTTTTAAGCAGCAATAGTTGGATAAATTTCTGCTTACATCAATTCCACATATTATTTCGTTAAAGATAGAATCGATAGCTGTAAAAAAATTTGTTTCCACGAAATCCTCCCTTGCAGTTGCGTAAACTGACTGTTATGTATCGCAACACACGGCAGAGGAACATTTCAGAAATAAACTGCGAACTTCACCGTCAGGTGTAGCCATGAATCAAGTCGAACTTCGCCGTTTCTCATTCCCTAAAACGAAGATCGCCTATTCAATGATTCGATCGTTCCCTCTGTCTTTCTAAAACCTTCTGAATATTATGGCACTGGCACGTACTGTTATTTCGCGATTCAGTTCCACGGTAGTTATGCGTGTCTTTAAACACATTTTTAGTATCTCTGTAAGGTATGAACAATTAATGCAGCGTGACATATGTCCAAATATTACGTTCTACTAAACTTATCTTCGAATAGTACATTTGTTATAACACACAGGCTTGAAATTTCAGAGTTTCATCAAACTCTCATCTATCTTTTGACATGAAGCCATTTCTGAAACTACCGAAATCATTGAAGTAAAAAGAAGAAAAAAAAAATGTTATGCATAATTGAAACGAGAAATTACAAGCAATTCTTTTGTATTTTTCTTTTTTTCAACTACAAATAATTTGCCAATATCGAAAACTGTTGGCAGAACTCAATAGTTAAGATTTTTCCAAATATTCTACGTATTAGATTCCTCGGTAAGTTTGCAACATTTTTGACAATTGATACTTCGTAATCTCTCTCTCTCTCTCTCTCTCTCTCTCTTTCTTACAGAATACAAATTCTCTCACAAAGTATACAATCCTCGAATTTTACTTAAATTTCGCTACGAACTTTCTGAACAATCCGACACATAATTTAAACATTCCCTGTTACAATTTCCTCTAAATTCCAAGGTTCGCTGACTCTGAATCAAGGTAAAAGAAAAAGGTGAAAGTAGTTGTTAGTTTTCAATCATCCACGAGTGTCTTTCTCAGGTGTAAACGAACATCTCAATCGCGTGTCGAAGGAGGAAACGTGAAGGTACACCCTGTAGTGAGAGAGAACAGAAGGGCCCTGGGCGCGAGAGGCGTAGACCACGGAGAAAACACGGCTTGCTGAGAGTTGATGTGTGGCCATTGTGACGGAATTTTGATAACGACAGGCAACGCCACGGGGTATCCCGCGGCGCTACCCGCGATTCGGACGTCGGACATAATTCTCGTAAAATTCTCGGCTTTATGGTAATGTCCCTGTCTCTGTATTGCCGTGACAGGCCACGTCAGGCCTTCGAATTTTCTCTCTTTCTGAACCGGCTCGATGATTTTTTTCTTATCACCAGATCGGCCAAAAGCCTGCCGGAGGATTCTCTAACCGACCGGTAATGTCCCGCTTAATTCTCGAATTGTCCTACACGAAGTCGAACATCGTGGAACTCTCTGGTGGCTGTTTCGAAAGATACGAGCGACAGATATTTCTCAGCTTCTTGAATTTTTATCCTTTCGAATCGAATCTTTTTCTGAGTCGTTTGAACCTCCAGCGGTGATCGAGGATGCCGTGCTATGTATTCACGTATCGGAGTATGATTTTTCACCCTTGTTAAATAGTCCTTTTTAATTTATTTTTCGATCTTTTGTTTTTACTTTGATTCAAGTAGTATAATTGTAGTATAGAAATTTAAAAGATTAGCCAACCAAATTTAATTCATTTTGGTCGAATTTAGTAATTTCTATCTCTAACTAATACTAATTTAATATCAATTACATAAAAGTACATCTCTTCTACGTTACCATTTCTTCAATACAGTTTTATCTGTGTTTTATCATTGCACAAACATCTTATCAGTTTGTATTTATCGTGACAAGAGAATGACGCGATTATCTGGTCATCAGTGCGGTCAGAAAAATTCGAAACTCCATCGCGAGGTAGCACTCGGATTACAACTTTACTAATGAAAGAAGCTCGAAAGTCTCGGCTACAGCGTTTTCACACGAGAGGCACCACAGATTTACCGAATTTCTCACAAGGTCCCGGCTGTGGCCTATAGTCGTAACAGATAAGATCTCGCCGGGTTACACGTAACGCCGGAAAGCCCGCGTTCCTAAGCATTCGCCGTCTTGATTCTTCGCTCTAACCGCGAGTATCATCTTCATCTTTATCATCGTCGTTACAACGTCGCCACAGGATGTCGACCCTTTCGAGTTCTAACCTCCTAGTCTCGTCGCAATGGGGGAAACTAGGCAGATAAACGCGAGCAACGTTGAAGCTTTGCGCCACTGCGTTCCCATTTTCCTTGGCGAAACATGGAATTAGCGAAAGCTACTTTCGTTTAGATATTTTCATTCAGGGTCAGCATGCAGTCCGAAGCTTTAACACTAGAACTACCGGTTAAAGCATGAAATTTTCATCAGAACATTAAAGTAGAAAAATGGAAAAGCTTTATAGTGTAATAAATTACATAAGCTTTTATTTATATATTTTCAATTTAATTCAATTTAATTCAATGCGTTGAAAACTCATTTAAATTTCTAAAAATACATTGTTTGACGCTTATAAAATTTCTAACAGAAATTATATATTGATCATTTTGACCACTTTGACAGTTTCGGTATTCAGGCTTGATGCGAGTTAAGGTGTTGTATGATGTCGATGAGGATGAATCGTGTTTCTTTTTCTATTAAATAGCGGATTTTTAATCTTTTATAAAATGCTGTGATTATTAATAATTTGTCAAGCAATTTTACATTATTCAATGATGAGCAGAAAGTTTTATATTGCTATAGAAAGAGGATCTAAAGTAAT